AATGACAACGTTTAAACGTACGTTACTAAAATATTTAACTACAACATGCAATGAATGTTACGAAAAGATTAATGACAATATTCATATGCGCTTTGTTAAAATGTTTAACTGCAACACGCAAAAGTTTAATGACAATGTTCAAATGCACATTGCTAAAACATCTAATGGCAACGCGCATTGTCTGTTGCTAAAACTAATTAATGACAACGTTCGTCGCATGTTGCTAAAATATTAACAACAACGTGCATTGCACTTTGCAAAAAGAAATTTAACGACAATAGACAGTGAACGTTGCAAAATGGTGTATTAACAACATTTATAAGAAACGTTGTCAAAACTCAATTTTTTCAACCAATAACAACATACACTTACTGAATGTTACAATAGACCCATTTTAGCAACATGCAATTAATGAATGTTGCATTTTATATGTTGTAAAAGGCTTTTATTCTTGTAGTGGATGTAGGTGAGAGAGGAGGAACAAAATGTTTGTTACCATTCATTTCCTAGTCCATGCAGTGAACAAGAACAAAGTCTTATAGCATGCCTAGGGCCATGTTATAAACATAATCCTGCTCTACTTTGCGTCACTTGCGACGCCAATAATTCACAATCTTTTTGTGCTAGTGCATATCAATGTAAACCCTAATTATTTCATATCGGTATCTTTTGTCGTACTTAACAATTAGTTAAATAAATTTATATTAAATTACCTTTTTTTCAATAATTATTGAAGTGCTTTCTTAATTAACAAAAACTTGCTTTTTGAAAGGGTAAGTTTTGAATAACTTTTAGGAAAAGTAATTTTCAAGCACAGCCAAACATTCTCAAGTGACGTAATTGTTAAAGATAATTGAATATAACTTAATATGCCTCTTATTGTGCATCATATTCAATTGGATTTACATCAAACTATTGATGAGAGTGAGTTTTATAGTCCATTTTTTTAATGCAAATTGAAAAATAGTAACCAAGTTCATGTCATTGCTGCCTTAATAATTCTTCTATAATTAGGTTGAATTGCCATTTGAAGCCACAATTTTATTTGTTTATATGAAAATTTATGTCATTATTCAAAATTTATTGATAAACCTAAAGAAATAAAGGAAGAAAGTTAGTGAGGAACAAAATTAATCAAGAAGCTTGGGTTGCAAAGTGTGCAAAGGAAAGCCGAATTTTACCTACTCTCTCTATGGCAAAAAGTCAAAAAATCTACTCAAAATTTCTGATTTTGCTGATTCCGCGACAAGGTGATGTGGTGGAAAAGGAATTGGACTTCATGACAAAGTGAGACCGGGGTAAGAAAAAATAATTTGGAGGAAATTTGGAGTTGTCCGTTTTTTTACGAATTTGTAGCCTAATTCGATTGAAAACGGGCTGAAAAGTTAAACTCAAAGGCTTTGACGTAGGACCAATTTTGGGCAAATTCCTTCGTTTAGGCATTTTTTTCTTTTTTTTTTGGTAATTCTTATTTTGAGTATATTTCAATCAAATAAATTTGGATTTACATTCCGTTTGTTGGAGAGTAATTCCGAAGATTAGGACTATTAATTTCCATCATTATCTTGAAATTTTCTATTTTTGGAAAAAATTCTTCTTTTTATTATTATTTAATTTTCAAATTTTCTAAATTTTTGCTATAAATACGTTGTAAGCCTCTTGAGGCCGCAAATTGATTTAAATGAAATAAAATTTTTCGTGAGTTTTTTTCTTTGTGAGATTTGTTCATCTTCCCTATAACTTCCGCTACGTCACAAGGAGAGACTCAAATGAACTGTCTAGACCAATAAATTTCTCCTTTTCAATTAAAAATTCGACCAATAAAGATTTATTTTCGGATATTCGTGAATCTGTCCTCATTTCTCACAGAAGATACTGAAACTCCTGAAATAAGAGTATTTAATAAAGAAAATCATGTTATACACTTGTATATTCTAAAAAGTAAAAAGGTTAACAATATTTTTAAAGCTCGTAATAATTGCATTCAGACAAATGAAACTTTAACTCCATTTATATTTAGGGTTATCTAGTTAAATCACGTTAATCATGCTCTCTTTGTTTTTACTTGAAACATCTTCAATAAAATGCTATTTCTATTTTAGCATCGAATCACTTGTAAACTTTGAAAATAGGTTCCCTAATAGAAAATTTAAGTCCATGTTTGGTACAAATTAAAATTCAGATTTTAATTTAAGTCAAAGTCAAAATTTAATTTTAACCACACATATTTTATGAAATTAACAATTTTTCAACCATACATTTCAACAATTTTTATCAAAATTTATTAAAAAAGTGATTTTAATTCCCACCAAACAGAGGCTATATGTCAATATCAGCAAATACTACTTACACATTGAAATCTCAATAATTCTTTATGTGCATCACAATCATGTTCACCGACAACTTCAGCATTACAATTGCCACTACCACCGTCACCACCCGACAACTATATCCACCACCACAATTAAAGGTGAAACCTTAACCTTAAGGGTCCCCCACCACCTCTGTCCTGGAGTATCGTGAGGGAGGTAAATCGCAGGTTATGCCTTCAAGGGTATAGGGTGGAAGATTGCTTGTACACTTGCACTTACCCAAGAGCCAAATCCATATTTCAGGATTCGAACCCTTGACGCAGCAGCCTCAAGCAAAGCTGGATTTCTCCACCCTCCCCTTTTACCACTTGGAGATGTGCCCTGGGGGCATATCCACCACCACAATTAGTACGATGCCACATGATCCATATACAAACATTTATCACCATCCCGAAATTTGTTCGTACAAGATTATAAATTTTGATCTTATAAAACAGTATTGCTATACATGATAAGTGGTGTTTATTGATCATCGATTATATGACATTAATTAATTTGTCATCCTTGTTTGGTCCCCATTAAAATTATAATTCATTTTTCTCTTTTTTCTTTTCAATCACACATTCTCCAATAAAATAATATTACACGTAACCTCAAACTTTTTCTTTATTTTTAACCACACATTTTTCAAAAAATTATTGTTCCAAAATATATTTTTCTCAAATTCTCATTATAATGGAAATCAAACAAGGGCTAAATCCTACACTATGCCCCTATTTGAAGGGATTAAAATCAATTTTTTAGTAGATATTGATAAAAGTTGATGAAATATGTAGTTGAAACCGTGTAGATCCCATATTATGTGTGATTCAAATTAGTTGTTAACTTTAACTTAAATTAAAAGGGTAATTGGCGCAAAACATCCTTACCTTTCGAGGTTATTGTGGAAAACGTCCATACCTTTCATTTTTTGGCATTTTTGCCCTTATTTACCACCTTTCTTGCGCTGAAGGTCATTTTCACTGTTTTTTGACGATTTTGCCCTCTATTCAAATAAAAGAAAAAGAATAGAATAGAAAACAAAAGAATTAATTGCAACTATTACCCCAAAATTTCAAAAAATTACAAATTAGTAATAAATATAGGAGTTAATAGCCCAAATGGTTACTAAACTTTGCCAAAGGTCCATAAAGGTCATTGAACTTTTTTAAATACAAAAAGAAAAAAAAAACCAAAAAAACCAACAAAAAAAAGGACCAAAAATAATAATAATAAAAATAAAATAAGGAATGTGAAAATAGAGGAAGGTGAAAAGTAAACCAAAAATTATTTTTTATTTTTTCAATCGTACATTTTTAATCAAAATTTATTGAAAATTTTATTTTTAGCAAAACTAATCTGTATTTTTTATTTATTTTTAAAAATAGAATTTTCAATAAATTTTGATTAAAAATGTATGATTAAAAAAATAAAAAATAATTTTTGGTTTACTTTTCACCTTCCTCCAATTTCACCTTCCTTATTTTTTTTGTCATTTTTTTGTTGGTGGGGCTCGTTTCTTCAATTTTTTTTGATTTTTTTTTCTTTTAGTATTTAAAAAAGTTTAATGACCTTTTTGGACATTTGGCAAAGTTTAGTAACCATTTGAGCTATTAACTCCTATATTTATTACTAATTTGTAATTTTTTGAAATTTTGGGGTATTAGTTGCAATTAATTCTTTTGTTTTCTATTCTATTCTATTTCTTTTATTTGAATAAAGGGCAAAATCGTCAAAAAACAGTGAAAATGACCTTCAGCGCAAGAAAGGTGGTAAATAAGGGCAAAAATGCCAAAAAATGAAAGGTATGGACGTTTTCCACAATAACCTTAAAAGGTAAGGATGTTTTGCGCCAATTACCTTAAATTAAAATCTAAATAAGATGACAAATCAATTAAAAGCAAATGTCACATCACAACTTGTAGGTAAGCAATGATAATGAATGACATTATTCTGTATAAAATACACAGAAGCAATCGGTGATGGAATGATCAAACCCAGAGCATATGTCGTGCTTATATAGAATGTGCTAACTGAATTCGCTTACACTTGTAATTTACATGTTAAATCTTTGCTTCAAAGGATCTTTAATGCTCGTATATGGGCTCGTCCCACCCATGTATACGTTAATGCATATTGAAGTCATTAGTTTTAGTTTTTAACTCAAAAGTTTATGAACTTCTTAATGCCATCCATGAAAGCGATCAAGACTTGAGTGGTGAGTAAATTCGTACACACAAATACTATACACTAAAATTGGAAAAGCATGCTTCTAAAGGAATTTTAGAAAAGTGAGATGCCTAATTCCTAAATCATGACAATTGAACTCTTTTTACTGTGATTGAGTTCTAGATTATTTGGGACAGAAAAAAACACGGCAATTCAACTAGAACGATTAGCAAAACTGAAAACCCACACGTAGAAGATAAACTAGAAAGGCAAAAATATCAACTATTTGGCTCTTTTGGCTATTAATATGAGAATTTTCATTTCATCTAATATTGGACTCTTTGCTAATGATTTGTTTGGTAAAGTATATTGACAACGAAGGAAAACGGACTCTAAAATCTCGCCCATTATAACTATGAGTCGAATCATACACTACGTACCAAAGGTGACAGAGATTATGAAATAAGAATGCTTTCAGGTCTAAACTGAATTGGCCTTATTAGACCTCTTTTTTCTACTCTTGGTAGTATTGAGTTTTTTGCTGCTGCTGCTGCTACGATTGCTGTCATTTCCAGCCCCACACACAATTGTAAACTCGATCCCATAAGCATTTCCAAAGCAAGAAAACAACCCTCCATCCGACTTCCTCCTGGAATGTCCCCCACAAACAGCTGATCGAGGCTTATACTCGTACCTTTTCGATCCCTCATTCCGCCACCTCTCTCTACTTGAAGTAAACTTAAACCCTTTTGCAGCAGCTTCTTCAAATGTCAATTCTTCTAAGATCGAGCTTTCTGTATCTTGAATTTCCGTAGTTTTATACGGTTTCTTTTTGGGCTTTGATGGTGGTGCCGCTTGTTGGGGTGGTTCATATTGCTGGGCTAATTCCGCAGCTACAACTGACGCTGAAGGGCCAATATCTGAACATAAATCTGAACCATTTACCATTGAAATTTTGCATGCTGATTCATTGACAAGTGAACCATTACATACAGAGCTTGGTTTTATTGGAAATTCCTCATTTTTATTCTCGGAACCTTCAGCCATAGAGCGCCAAAATTGGATTTTCTCGTTTATATCACTGTCTTCTTCATCGTGATCTCCATTTTTCTGTTGCAGATCATTCGGATTGTTCATTTCTTTCCGTATTCCATCAGGAGAATGAGAATCTTCGACTCCAGAGTTTACTTTGCTATTAAATGGCATACTTTTCATGCTGCTGTCAAGAAGCGAAACGCCCATGTTCAGTATGCCCTGTGGGTTACCTATGAAAAGAATCCCGAATTTAATTTGTGCATGTCTAAGGTCTTCAATTAAGGGAATGTGTAGAAGATAAAAATCAAAATATATAAATAAATGTGTTCTAAGGTTTAAACTTCTGGACGAGGTCGTCCAACTCTACCTGATGGACGACGAACCTGAAGAGCAACAAACCGCGTGGTTTTGGAACTGCTTAATGAGGACGGCGACGGATTAATGAGGTCGCCTACAGGTACATGTACTATACCGACAAGAACATCGTGAAGCCATGAAACATTGTATATCTCCACATTTACAGCTGCATTATCTGAAAGCAAGAATACATCGTCAACACGAAAAGCAAATTTATCGTTCCATGTAGGATTTGTTTGTCCATGTTTATCTGTTCTTGTGGTAAATTTCCTTCCAGGATGAACCCATGTAACGGCATATGTGCGCATGGATTTGGAGACGGGGGCCAGGTTTTGGGCAGATATGAGGCTAATTTCCAGGAGGTGGAAAAGGGGAACTTTGAGAATATGGTTCTCTTAACCCACTTACTTCAATTTTTGTGAACCATTGGATGAAGATCAATGATTGAGATTTAATCTTGTGAGAGAAGCTTTGACCAATTTTTCACCTAACATACTACTTACCCCACGTTTTTGTGTAAGAAGGAGTGTCTTCAGTTGGGTGGGGGTTATTTTAAAAGGGAGGCAGGCTGGTCATTTTCGTGTGTGGCTCGACAGTAAATTTCCTCCATTTTTGGTTCCTTAAGGTGGTCTCTTGGTTGGTGGTTTTTCAAGGGGTTCTTTGCCGGTTCTTTCTATCCCTCTTTGGAAGGCAATTTGCATAGCATGGGGCTGTTCCTGAGCCTGGAAAAACTGCTATAAGAGGTGAAGAAGCTGCTGCAAGGAAGAAGAAGAAGAAGCTGGACAGATTTCGGCCATATAAAGGGGTAGTATTCTTCCGATTTTATTTTCTTGTTTTTGCCTTGAATCTTGTTTGTTGATTGATGTATTGGTTGATTGAACTCCTAGGATCCCCAACAAACTGGTATCAGAGCTAGGAGGAGTGATATTAGTCCAAAATCGATCAAAAACCAGCAAGGAATCGCCATTACCACTTTCTCACGGAATCTGAAAAACTTGATTTCCGGCCAACCTATTGACTTTCCGGCGAAATGGACCATGGAACCATGACCAGCAGGAGGAGGCGTACCCTGTGGTGGGGCGAGTGACCGGCGACGGCGCGTGGCTTCGGCGGCGGCGCGTGGCCGAACCTCCGACGAACTTTTTTCGGGCAGTTTACTTATTTTGACATCCTGAACGCACTGATGTCGTTTGTTTTCTGTTTCAGATTTTACAAAAAAAGTTGGACGATTTTGCCCCTACCTTGACGTCTACGGCAATTTGGTTCAGAAACTTGGTGGTATATTTACTGTTTGTCAACAGTAGTTTGGTAAGATTATTCCAAACTCTCCGTTAGGTTAGGTTTGGTATCCTTACCGGTTTATGCATGGTTATTGCTTGGTTGCTTATTTGTGAATTCTGTTGATTGAATTCTTGTGATTAATTTGTAACCTAGAAGCATATTTACCTGCTTTATATACCTGTGTTTCGTGAACGGATTATTTTCACTGTTGTGCTTCATTTCTAAAAATTGTTTTTTTAACTCGGCACTCAGTTATATATTGATCATCTGGAAAGGATTTTTTCAAAAACTTTTTTGTTGTGTCCACGAGTACAGACCACTCTTTTATAGAATCTATAATGGGTTCGAGGGTCAAATTATCGCAATTCGATGGAAAGGGGGATTACTCGATATGGAAACAGAAAATGAGGGCCATTTTGGTCCAACAGAGAGTTGCTAACGCTCTTGATTATCCCGCTACATTTTCTGATGAGTTAAAAGTTAAAACAATTGAAATTGAAGACATGGATGAAATTGCTTACATTTATATAATTTTTCATCTATCTGACAATGTTGTGAGACAAGTTGATAGTGCTAAAACTGCTAGAGTTTTGTGGATTGCTTTAGATGCCCTGTTCTTAACTAAAACTTTACCTAACAAAATATACCTGTTGGAGAAGTTGTTTAGTTTTAAGATGGACCCGGGGAAGGATGTCGAGGGGAATTTGAGTGACTTTAGCATAATTGTTAAGAGTCTAGCTCATAATGATAAAACATTTGATGATGAGGATTTAGCTGTCATATTGCTAAACTCTTTGCCCGAATCTTACAGAGAAATGAAAAATG